ACTAGTGAGAGGGGAAATGGTTTGGCAGTTCTCACAGATCACGTAGAGACCGTGGTCTTATGGAATAATTAGATGAAAATAAAACATTTTTAATCATACACCTAAAAGATTATACACAATCCATGCTTCATCGCCACAAGGTGATGCACTTTTACAGTAGGCTATGAGCGACTGTATTAAAATTGGCATCTTTTCTACATACCAGCTACAATAATTCAAGAACAACTCAGTGCCAGCTACCTCGGAATTTTTGAATTATAAATAAATCTTGAACAAAATAAGGATTGGTTCAAAAGGTGATTTACAAGGTATATTGCTACAGAAGCGTTATTTGAATGTTGGCAAAGAGAAGTAGAGAAAATACCCAAGATTAAAAACAAGAAGTAGGTTTTGCAATATGACGCTCTGGCTCATAATTTATATGTAAACTGTATTTACCATAGTGTATTCATACGTGTAAACCAAAGTACCAGTAGACATCTCTTGATCATGACTGCTAATATATCCTGACTGCCCCAAAGTACAGATGTTGAAAGAGCTGCTGTAGGTTTTATTGGCCAACCCAGAGAATGGTGCAGTAACCCCCAAACTCAGTATCAGAGGCATTGAGCGAACTGTTCGTTGGGGGACCCGTCCCCAAACCAATCAAATGCAATCTTCCAATGCATTCACCTGCAGATTCCTGTTATGAAGAAATCTGTCACCATATTGTTGTCTTTAGTTTCCCTGGCAAGATGGATAATCTGATCATCAATGTAGGTAATAATTAACTATTGCGCAGGATACTGCTGCTGCACCGCGTACCCCGAACGCAGAGAGAGATAGAAAAGACACTGAGTTCCAGAAAAGAGAGGAAGCCTACACAAAAGGGCCTGATTGCAGGAAAACTCGGACATAATTAATTTGGGTCAGATGGGCGGGATGAAAGAGTTTCACGGGCATTTTTTGTATTTATAGTTCTTCAAAACAAACCATGAAAATCCCAACCCCACCTTCGCATTCGGGGACTCTGAATAATATGTTTTGGCAAAGTGAAGATGGAAAATTACATCTCCAGATTGTGATCTCAGACACTCTAATGTCAATCCGGAGTGACTCCATTGGCCTCAGTAAAGTTAAACCCCAGTTTTAGAACGATGAAACTGAGCTCAAAATCTGTTCAATTTTTCTTTCCTCTAGAGTAAGTGTGGGGGGGGGGAGGGTTGCTGAATAATACACGAAAACCCTTTTGAGACTGTTAAGATGTTCCTGTCTATAATATCCATGATTTCATCCCATAACAAAGTGAAACAAACAAACAGATGAGGAGTTTAAAGAAGAGATCAAACAAACAAAGCTAAGGGATTTTTCGGATCATTCCATCGCTTTCTGTAGCTTCTTTTTACTCTAGTTCTTTCCGCTAACGGATATGTGACAACTTTAAAAAAATTATTTTGATCCGTTGCAGTCCCTGTGTTGCATATCAGAACAGCTAGGTTTGGTTGAACGCGTTAATAGGTGTTGTTTCATTTATGTTTTGATCATGAATCAAACGTTTTTGTTGGTGGAAGTTAAAACACTGATAATTTTATAGGAAACTGAATCTTTTTTTGTTTCAGATTGAGCTGCTGTTTTGTTTCAGATCTTCAAAATCGTTTGCCACTAATTTTTGTACGAAATCGCCTTTGCTTAAGGACTTATTAAACAGAGATGGTTTAACTTGGTTTATGACTGAGAACTACTTAGGCGGAGATCTTTAGGCTTTCAGATTCCTGGCATTGATCTGAAGATTTCGCTCTTTGGAATGTGACCCTGTTCGGACTTAGCAGATAATCAGGAAATGCTACAAGAAAGCGCGTTGTAAATCGCGCGCGCACACACACAAGCGCGCGCGCACACGTAAGAGAATAAGAACAAGTCCTGGAACTCAAGAGCCGTCGGACCCTAGCGCGCAGTTGCAGCGACTGCGCCAGCCCTAGGAGCTGTCTCTGGTGCTGCAAGCGGCTTCTCCGCCGTGCAGAGCCGGGCTGGCGCTGAGCAAGGCAAAGATCCCTGGGAAAAAGCAAGCCCAGCTGTGTCAGCTCAGGCTCTGGACACACCAGCGCCGCTCTGCTGCGTGCAGCAAATGCAAACGTCTCAAATGAAGATGTCTCCCCGGTTCTTTTGCACGAGCCTAGGAATAGCTGACGGTTGGGGACTGCTCTTTCCATTTCTTTCTAGCTCCGCTAGAAACTCCCTTAAGTTCCGCAGAGCTCTCGGATGCTGGCCGCCCGGGTAGGATACGGGAGAAACGTAGCTCCCCTCTCTGCCTTAACTGGGGACAGGGCAAAAGGAGGGGGAATGAAGATGTCTCCCCGGTTCTTTTGCACGAGCCTAGGAATAGCTGACGGTTGGGGACTGCTCTTTCCATTTCTTTCTAGCTCCGCTAGAAACTCCCTTAAGTTCCGCAGAGCTCTCGGATGCTGGCCGCCCGGGTAGGATACGGGAGAAACGTAGCTCCCCTCTCTGCCTTAACTGGGGACAGGGCAAAAGGAGGGGGAGCCAAAGCTGCTAAGAAAGGCCCCTCTGCAGGGCGCCAGTGTCTAGTGACCCACTGGAGAAAATAGGTCCCTGGGCAGCACCCAACCTCTTCCACAGCAAAGCAAATGCAGAGAGGAGCCCGGGCATGCCCGGGTATCTGTTTTGGGCCGCACTCACTAAGGGGGAGAGCCCTGTCGGTTCCTGGGATAGACACAAAACAAAGATTAGTTGCAACAGACAACTAGGTATCATGCAGTGTACAAGAATTCTTCCCATCCACTTTCTGCTTCTATCCCTAATGGGGAAAGGCTGAAGGGCTTTGAATTGCAAATAGTTAATATAAGGGATGGTGTTCGGCTTTCAAAAGGTTGCTTTTAATCCAATAGCTATGCGAGAATAAATTGTGTCTGAAAACGGGGGACACACTTGAAATTGTAAAATGTTTATTTAGCTGGGGGACTTCAGAAAACTCTCCAGTGAGGTAAAGAAGCAGGTTCTATTGCAGCAAAATAAATTAGTAATTGACTGGAAAATATTCTACTAGAAATGTACCAATGCCAACAAACAATTAAAGAAAACTAATTTCCCATTGTGTCCTCTCTATTTTCGGAGGAGGAACATTAAAAAATATTTACATAGCTATTGGGTGTATTTGCCTCAGGCAATGCAATCAAAGCAACAATCTCTCTTTCGCCTGCTCCTTGGAAATCAGTCATTTTACGCAGGCGATTGTTAGCCAAAAAGAAAGACCAACTTTGCACATTCACAACATTGCGCCAGGACTTTTTGTACGGGTTGATTGAATTTAAATGAGTGCGCATCTGTAGCTTTTAAAACATTTAACTGAGTCCTTTCTTCTACTGAAAGCCTGTTTTAATTAGCTTCAGAAACAAGAAAATGCTCCTAATGAAGTGATATTTTCATAATTTAAACAAGGGGCAATCAAAATTATCAGCAAGTGCGAATTTAAATGTAACTTCAGGCATGCTTCTGTAACATTGGAGAAGCGAAAGAAATGCTTTTCTTAACCCGTAGCTCTTCCTACACAAATCTTGCTCCCTGTATACACACGGAGAGAGGAAGGCCAGCAGGAACTGCCC